TATTATTTCAATCGCCAGACTGAATCATGTAAACATGGTGTCTAAATGCTCCCTCAAGTCGGCTAGACCCTTATTTTCACTTGGTTGAGACATTGTGAAATCCCTGCAAAAAGAAATGTTAGTAAAAAATAACATTCCCTCACAGTCCTCTCGTGTTTCACTCACCTCTTAATCTTCTTCCCTTAAGTTAAGTATTGGAATTGACTTCTCTTGAATCAAGGTACTCAAGCTTATCTTAAGACATTTCAAAGGACCCTAAGAAAGAAAACTGCAACACAACTTCTAGAAGCACAGTGTTAACACACGGATGAAGATGATGTGTGTTGTTTATGTGTGAGGCTAAGTAACTAGGATGCGATTAGTTACATAATGAAGTAATGGAACAAAAACGTAATGAAAAAAAAAAAGTTAGAGTGTAAGAAAAACAATATGAATATGATTTTTTTTTGCTTTTATTTTTGTTTTTACGATAAGTATTAATGGATACAAAAATATATAAAAAGATAACTGATGAAACAAGAATAACAAACATGCAAGGATAGATTATGCAAGATAGGTTGTGGGGCATGGTGTATAAATGTTTGGGGATTAGCCAGGCAATTTCAGGCTCAATTAAGGAAGAGATTTTGGTGTGGGAGTTTTTGAAAGATCGTTGTATTTTCACCAATATGATCCCTTTCACTCTCATGGTGTATAAATGTTTGGGGATTAGCGGGGCAATTTCGGGCTCAATTAAGCAAGAGATTTTGGTGTGGGAGTTTTTGAAATACTATGGTATTTTCACCGATATGATCCCTTTCACTCTCATGTAGTTAGTGAGAAAAGTTAGAAATAGAAGAGCATTTGAGGGTTTAGATGATGTATTGAAAAATAAATGACTTAACACCCTGAATTATTTGCTCTCAAGTCATCCTCCGATGTTTTTTGAGACTCTCAAAATGATATTTTCTATGGAGGACTAAACTGTAAATAATTGCACGTGTTTTGCACCTCTTAGTGCTCATAGCAATACATATTACACTTTTTATTTTTTTAGAAAGAGATTATGCAAGATAGTAAGATCTCCCTAGCGTCTAAACTCTGATATCAAATGATACGGAACCCGAGATCAACAAATACAATTCAAACTCACACATACAATTTAGCATGCAAAACTTAAGTTTCTAAATAAATTCTCCATATTTAACCCACATTCGACCTGTGAATGCTAACTTAGGTAATAGGAAAATAAAAATAAGGATTGATAAACACCATAAAAATACATCGACAAGTAGAACTAATTCTTCACTCAACGGGATAGTCAAAGAAACCTCCCAAAGAGTTCACAACAGCTGAGAGCTAAAGAAAAAATAACTAAAATTTTATTGAATCTGAATTGAATAAATTACAACTGATGACTCGACCTTTTTAAAAGAAAAATTTAAGAGAATTACAATTGAAAACAAACTTCTAAAATTTAGGATACATATCTTAAATTTCATCTATGACTCTTAATAAAAAAAAATAATTAAAAGACTCATAAATTAAAATAAACTAAAATCCTTCTCTCTTGAGTTGTGGTCGACTTAATTTTGGAAATGCTCCTTGGATTTGGATTCTATTATTTTACGGATTTTTCGTGTTGAAGGTGATTTAGAATGCAAACAAGTTGATGTAGAAAAGAAACCTTTTTTTTTTTTTTTTGAGAAAATCAATGACAATTAGCCATAAGGAGAAAATCAAGGACAGAATCGGTTTTCAAGGAGAAAAAATCTAGGAGAGAAGCACATTTAGGGGAACTTGTCCTTTTGAGTTTCATTTGTTGAATTAGATGCAAACACTCATTCAAGATGAGATTATCGAAGAGATAGGCCAAGTAGGATTCTTGAAAGATGGATCCCATGAGTCCTACTGATTTGCATGAAGAGAAGACGAGTGGAAGAAAAACTCTCATGGGAGAGAATTTCCCTCTTGGATGAGACTCTCCTCCATACATGTCTAGGATCACATCACTTGCTCTCGATCCTCTTGATAAGTTTTGCGAGAATTTTTCAAACATAAATTGTAGATCACCCATACGATTAGCTCTGATATCATTTTGTTATGGTCCCTCCTAATAGATCGCGTTATGGGGTGATTCACAACAAAATTAGTAGGTACAGCCATACTTTTCTTTGATTTTCTATTTTTCCCATCTTTAGAAATTAAGAAAAATAATTAAGACTTGTTGGATAACGAGAACCATACGATCTCTAAGTAGAAATGTACTCTTCATTAACATCAAATTTGCAGACATAAACTGTTTAGATCCCCATCACAGAGGACATATACAAAGAGGACCAGTTAATTCTGAACTTAGAATTTTCAGAATTAACTAAACTGCCCTTTACTTATTATAGACTCATTTCTTACCCTAACACACAGTTAACGCTTATTTTAACACACTTACATAGTAATTACACAATAAATATTATTACTAGCACTACCAACACAAATATTTATAAGCAATTACACAGGATTATTGATTTTATTTCTCCTTTGGAAAACTTGCAGATAAGGAACTATATTGTTCCTAACACAAGGCCTTCAGTAGTTTTATACAGATCGAGCCCTGTTCAGAATCTCTTCATTGCAACTACAATTTCATATCCACTATATGCATCTACTCGATAAATCTTAAGCACTGATGACTATGGCATAAAACCTTACAGAAATAAGATTGAAACAAAAGCATCAGGTTAGTTCATATTACCTTTTCAGGTACATAAACTTGATCAGATAATTTATCCAAATCATCATAGCCAGCATCTTTGTTTTCTTTCGCTAATTTTCCTTTTTCATCAGATTTAGATGTGGTGGAACTTTCCCATTCAACAGATAACTCAGGAAAACCCCAATCTTTAGTCGGGTTGGAGGAATTGTAAGTTGACAATGATTCCAAGTGTCTCACACTGGGAGTCCGCAACTTATACACTACCCCTAAGGCAAAAGATTAAAAACCTAAGCAGTCATGAATTTAATTTTATTAACAGTAAAGATGAAGAGAAAACAAAAAAACCAAGCCATTTAGGCATTCTAAACTGCTTCTTTCCTATCTTCATGAACAGCAAAATAAAGCATGAAAGTTAACAAAGAACAGCTTTGTCCAGACAGCAGAGAAAGTGCAATAATGGTTTATTAATTAAGGAAAATGCAAACCTGTTGTAACTCGCACCAGATCTAGGTGGACTTCACATATTGGGGCAGTTTTTAGAAGGCGACCACCAGAAGGCACAGAGGGATGAAGCTTAGTAGATCGTTTCATCAGTCGCCCAACTAGCCTAGTTACCTGTTGCTTTCTACCATTTCCAGTCCCTATGACCATTTCCCAGTCCCATAAATCTACAACTGGAAATCCAGGCATTGGCTCCTCTGTAGATCGAATCACTTGACCATACTGTGCTTGCCAGCTTTCTTCTTCCACTGACAAACCTGCAACAGTTATATACGAATAAACAACGTGAGCAGGCACCCTATCATAGGGTTACTTGACTTAAAAAGAACAGTTTAAGCGGTTAAGATTTTCTAGACTCCTAGTACAGGTTAGGATATTTACAAAAATGGTCAACACGAGAATTAATATACAAGCACAGGGTCAAGCAAAAGTCACAGCTTACTAAAGATAGGGATTAAAACCTTTATCTAATACTCTTCCACTCAAATCAGTCAAATCATGATCATCATCTGGGATCCATTCACCTTCTTCTAGCTCCTGAGTGTCATTCTCCCCTGATCCACAACAAAACAAATAATTTAGCTTCTATTCTATGCATAACGAGCCTTTACCAAATGTTGAAAGAACATTCATATAAACTTGTACTGAAATTTGGACAAAAGATTACCTGATAACTTGAAGTTATCCTCATCAGCTATGCCTGAATGCATCATTGGCTCTGCAGCAGTATTTGCCAATACATTGTAGCCAGACAAATAAAGATTGATGAGTGTATCTTCCAACCTGGACGAGAAGAAAATTATTCAAGAAGATATAGTTAAAACAAATGATATCTCTTGATAAGCAGCATACCATTCTGATGGTGGTGGAGGATTTTCAGTTGGTTGACTGGTGGAGTATTCTGTTGGTCCTGTTGATGCAAAATTTAGAAGGTTCAGTTAATAAACCAAATTGATTTCAGTAAAGGAATCTACTGCTCATCACTTGTTACTTAATCAGCAAACAACAGTTAGAAGAGTTCTGCATGTGAACAAAAAAGTCAGAATTAGACCTATCAATCACATCCCAAAGCATGGAAGTATATTTGAAGTAACATATAGAACATGAAATGACCTGTAAACATGCAAAATTCTTAGGAGGATGGGACCATCTAGTACTTTATGTCATAAATTAACAACTGTAACCTATTAACCTTTCACCTCAACCACAAACTCGTTGAAACAAAACATCTTCTAGCTGCTATGAATTGAAAATGACACGATCATAATTTAGTCAAGCCCTACAACTTGTATATGAAGAAGGTGCTTATGGAGGACCAAGAAAATAACATTATGTTACAGAAACAACCTGCTGCACTGAGCTACTAAATATCCAAAACATTAATCGACAACATGACTAACCTGCAGAGTGTTCATCACAAACAGTTTTTATGCGTTTGGAAGCTTCAGATTCATCTCCCTGAAATGTAAAGTCATTGTCATTTGGGTTATAAGGTATATCCTTATTTGCATCCTCTTGAGCAGAATCATGCCAGACAGTTTCTTCACATGGATACATTTGACATTCCTCAACCTGAAACAACTTGAGAACAAAATTTGCTAGCTTTAACAACGCGTCCAAGAAAAAAACCTCAGCAGAAACACAGACCAGCAGCCAAAAAAACCCGATAACAAAACCCAAACTCTACCTTGGAGGAATCCAGAAGCACATATTTCCCATTTTCAAACTTGTAATAAAGACCATCTCTGCTACTATAATACAAACCAGAATTCGGATCATGATAAAACCCAGTACTGCAGCAAACAACAAATTCGACGTTGAATTTTCTTTCCAATTTTCCCCTTTAAACTAAGTAACAGAATATATTAAGCTTGATTACCGAAATCTTATTTCACTTTCAATAACTTAACAATCGTTAACATGATATTCCCCTCCGGAACTAAACGAAATCAATGGAATCAAATTTTGTGGTCGAAAGAAATTCCAGTGATAATATAAACCCTCCAATGGAAAGTTAGAAGATCGAATTTAACAAAACACCAAAAACATTCCAATTTAAATAAATTTTAAATAAGCAGAACTAAAGATAAGAAACGAAGAGTACAAGAAAGAATGAAAAACCTGGCATGGAAATAGAGCTGAGTGGTATCATCCCAGACGAAGGAGCAATCTTCGCTCTTCAGATTCTCAGACTCCTGTTCCTTGCTTCCTGCCATTTACGAGTTCCTTTTACGTGTGTGTGCGTATACACGTCTCCACGTGTATATATATATATATATGTATCTGTTGTCTATTGGCGCCGACGATTCGGCGTAAACATGAAAGACGGAAGATTCTGTACTGGGGAAGGAGAAGAGCGTGCCTCTCACGTGCGCTTCTTGTGAGTAGGCCCATAGAGTCTTCAACTTTAGATCCGTTGATTAGGTTTTCAGTCCAAATTGATTTTCACAAAAAATAAAAACAAAAATCAAATTTGAATTGTAAAATAAAATCACATTTGAACTAAATATTTTTTAATACTTAATCATTATTTCAAGCTTAGAAAATACACTTTTTATTTTTTCTTTTTAACTTATTACCTCTCACTTTAACTATTTTTTAAAAAAACTTATCATTAATGTAATCTTCTACTTTATTTTTTTAATGAATATATTTTTTTGACTGAAAATATTATAGACTTTTTTTAGACAAAAAAAAGTACAATTTTAAAATACCGATGTTTATTCTCTTCCAAATTTAATTTTAATTCAATTCTTCTACATTTTTTTATTAAAGGAGAACTGAAATGTTTATTTACTGATTTAAAAAAATAAATTTAAAAGAATTTATAATTCTCCTTATATATATTATGTAATTTTGAAAATGGTATTTGACTTAACTTATTTTTTAATTAAAAAAAAAAGAACTAATGGAATATAACATTGTGCTAAATTTTTTATGCATGTAATAAACAATAAGACCTTATAAAAATTAAAGAGCTTACAAGGTTTTACAAAAAGAAAATTGTTAGACCCAAACTTTTTTTTTTGAAAACTAAAAGAAGATTGTTATTTACCAATCAAAAAACCAAAGTACCTCATTAACTTAAAATTTTGACCTTTTATCTCATAGAATGAATTTCCTTTTTATGTCTTTTCTTATATTGTTGTTGTCTTTCCATTGTGCATTCAACATATGTGTCTAAAAGCAAAACCTAAAAAACTATCTTTTATGTGTTTGGAGAAATTTTATGCTTATATGTTAAGATTTTGACCCATAATTTTTGAAAATTATTTTAATGTATTGAGCCGAAATATTGTTCTAGTTATCTCTAATAATTTATTACCTAACGATTAAGTTCAAAGATGATTTTTAACAATCTTCTACACGAATTTACATATATGAAACGTTTTAGGAAACTTATGATCTCAATGATCTTCTCCAAACAAAAAGTTTCTTGATCACAGAAATTACAAGTCATATTTTTGTTCATTAAGGGTTGTCCATGTGTTATTTTAATATTATTAAAATAATTATGGTTTTTAATTGGTCTTGATGGTTGAGATTGACATGATGTTTATAAAGTTTTTCTTGAATCGTTACTTCACGTTTTATTTTAGAATTTATTCATTTGTTTATCTTCTCACTTAAATGTTATTTAAATGTTGTTTTAGTTACATCCATTTATTTTTTACTCAAATTAGTGTCATATGTTGCATTATAATGAATTTGTAAATGCTATAATCCTATAGTGTTCTCTTTTTTTTTTTCCTTGGTCTTATTTAAATCTTTTTTCTATCATCCTAGTTATTATCTTAAGGTTTTTCTATTATACTCTTCATTTTATTTACTTTTAAGCAGTAGTAGTGGGAAGAACTTCTACGTTTAGGACTTTTCAAAAGGGTCGGGAGGTTAAAAATATTGATGCTACCTAAATCTTCTGCATTTTAATGATGCTCCTTAAAGACTATCCTTTATAACTAATTAAGGTGAGAGAGAAAACCTAACACATGTTATGAAGAATTTGTCATGTTCAACGAGGTTTTTCAAGTGTAAGTTGTACTTATCTTAGTTATTTTTGGTCTTATAGACCTAAATGCTATTCAACTCTTGCTTTTACGATTCTCTCTCACTAAGGTACTCTTTTTGTAAAGGTTCAGAACTTAAATGGAAATAAAGTCTTAAACTAAATGCGGATGCAAAGTAATAGAGTTAGAGTTTACATTCCTTACACAATACTTTAGAATGTCCAATAGGGCTACATGAATATCTATTCTAAAAGAATAAACGAAAATCAAAGAAATAAACAAAAGACAAGTAACTAAGCAAAGCTAAGACGACTTTTACTAGCTTTTGAAGGGAGTCCGGGTAGTGAACTATTCACAACCCCCTTGTTGATTGGGATTTGAATCTTAATCATTTTGATCTGAAATAATTAATGAAAGGGTGAACTACACTAACCCAGTAAAAATATCACACTAGTCACATATATGAAAAATTGAAGATTGATAGAAATTAAGAAAACAACCAATGGAGCCCTTAATTTAATATAAACTCATTTACTATAAAGAAAGCCATTTATTTCATATTTGTGTAATAAGTCTCTCCCAACAATAACTTATGAGAACTTATATTCATGAACTATTATTTATCACATATAAGATAACTAGAAATAATCATTTTATATTTTTATTCATTTACTATACCCCTGGGTCCATAAAAATGTCCTCATACTCGTGAACCCAATATATAATTAAACAATTAATCAGCCGTCCTCATACTCCATCCAGTAATGGGCGTCAAATATTCCACCACCTTAATACCCCGTCCGGTATGAAGGTAAACCATATATCTCAAACCTTACTAGAAAAGAACTTTCTAGCCCCGTTCGACTGAGATAATGTTCACGGTAGGGTTCCCTATGTACCGGGCCTATCCGCCCTTTCTCGGATACTTAGTAAGTCTTTTCCATATAGATTTTCATCAGTATAACAATCAACCACACAATAACCATATCTCATTTTATACTAACAGTTCACTTATACAACAATATAGTTTAACACAGCTAAATAACCAATGACCGAAATACCGACACGCAATACAAGGGAAAAAAATAACAAAATAACCAAAAAGACCCTAAAAATCATCAATTGAGTTACGCACAATATAATAGTAAACAAATACAAGTAATACAAAAAAATAAACAGGAAATTAAAATGATTGTGAACTAACTAGTTCTGACTCCAGCTCCACTAATGACTTGTAATTATTTTTAGCATTCTCTAATTTTTCATAAAAATACACAATTATTAATTATTAAGCTTCAATTTGCCGTAACGGAGAAAAAGGTGAGGGATCCTTACCCGAATTGGTATCTGAAACACCGAATTTTTTACTGCAGCTACTGGCGGTCCTCAGTTTTTTTGAATTTTTCTATAGAGATTAAAACATACTTCACGTACCTAAAAATATCCTAAAAAACTCAAAATTGGTGTTAAAAATCTTTTTCGACCAATTTCGAAATTCTGGCACGACGATACCGTTGTGCTCTAATGACGGCACCACTATTTACGGGCTGGCCGTTTTTTGTCAGTTTTGGCCAGTTTTGCAGCCTTTATAGATATCTCTGTGAAAAAACATGTTAGGAGATCTCAGTTGTCCGAAAAAATCAGAAAACAGAAACCTATCGATGGTGGAATTTTCTGCGTACGGCGGCTCTGCCGGCTCATTTTTTCGGCTGGAATTTTTTCTTCGGTCAACTTGTAGAAAACAGAACGATGAATACAACGATGAAAAAATCGCACGAAACGGGAAATGACAAGGGGCCCATCGGAGGAGGTTGCAAGTTTTGCCTGCGGCAGTGCCGTTGGGCTTTGCCCGTAGTTTCTGGCTTACCTGCCATATATTTTGCTCTGATATGGCCACAAGGGTGCTCGGAATCAAATTTCGAGCAGGTAGGAGAATTTTTACCTTTTTTGAAGGTCAGAGATGGCTCTGGTGCGGCGGCAGTCGGCGGTCGGCTCCATTATCCAACGACTGGTCCTTCTTCTCTGGTGGGAGGCTGGGGGCTAGAGTTTGGGTTCAGTGTGATGTAAAATATTTATACCCATCTCGCCTTAATCTAGGTTGTTCATTGCATTTGATCTCAACTGTTCGATTGCGCCTAAGGAGGAAACGAATTTAGACCGTTCATCGCATTTAATTTCAACCGTCCGATTGCATTCAAGGAAAAAATAAATCTACACCGTTTATCGCGATTTAATCTCGATCATCCGATCGTGTTTAAAGAGAGAACAAATTTTGACCGTCTATGCGCGCGAGATCAATCCTAGGTTGTTCGATCGGGGGCATGCAGATTATCCGCGTGGCACCGATGTCAGCGTGCCTTGCCACACAGCGTGCTCCAGTTCGTCAGGGTTGTTGACTGGGCGGTCCTACGTGGTAAATTTTTTTTTATTTGTACTCTGACCCCCAATTTCTGATTTTTCTTTCAAAAACAACCCCCCGAATCCAAATTTTCATTCCTTTTTCCTAAAATTATTTTCAATTTCAGCCATAACCTATTTTTTTCATAAATTTAATAAAAATTAAAATAAATTAATTTAAAAATAAATTTTTATATTTTAAAAATATTAAAATTAATCCCATGCCAAATTCTGGGCCCAGGTATTACAACTTTCCTCCCCTTAAATTAAATTTGGTCCCTCAAATTTGTCTCTCTCTCACTCAATCAAACAGTTGGGGATACTGGGCTCTGATGTTTGATTCTAACTCCCATGTAGCCTTTTTGTGTGTCTGATTATGCTATAGTACCTTAACGAAGAAAATTTTTCAGTTATGGAGTACTCTGCTCTTTCAATTCACAATGCCCATTTGTACCTCCTCATAGGACAAATCATCCTGGAGTGAAAGGGGCTAGTGGGCTAAGATGTGATAAGGGTTCGAGTTGTACTTGCGTAGCATGGACATAAGAAACACATTATGAACTCTGGATAGTTTTGGAGGTAGTATCAGTCTTTAAGCAACAATACCAATTTTGTCTAAGATCTCAAATAGTCTAATAAACTAGGGATTTAATTTTTCCCTCTTGTTAAACCTACTGATTCCCTTGAAAGGGGTGACCTTGAGGAATACTCGATCACCTTTCACAAATTCCAAATTCCTCTTCCGGTTGTCCACATAATTCTTCTACCTACTTTGAGCTGTCTGGATGTTCTTTCTGATCTTAACTATTTTGGCTATAGTCTCCTCCATAAGATCTTGACTGAATAATTTTCTATCACCTACCTCTTTCCAACAGATCTTCAATATGCATGGGCAGTCATATAACGCTTCATACGGAGCCATGCCGATACTTGCTTTGTAACTGTTATTGTAGGCGAA